AATAATAATAAACACTGTGCAGGTCCTGCTATTCTGAACACGCAGGAGTCTTTCTAAAGGGGAAACACACTTGAATTCATTTTCTGGTAAATAGGCTCTCGTTTACCTCTGTAAATTGGACACCTGGAAATAAAGGGCATTAGATCTTCTCTTTCCTGCAAAATTGCATATTGTGCAATCAGTATACAGTCATCTTTATCCTAATCATTGTAGTTGTTTATTTGTCAGACTCAATTGTATTACAAGACTCTGGCGGAATTACGCGTAAAAATAGAATTCACTAAGACCGAGATTGCTCCAAACCCTAAATATATCGTTGTATTTTGAATTTAAAAATCTTTCAATATCTCCTTATCGTAGGTGGTTTTCCCATTTCTTACCTTTGTTGTTTAAATTTATATGAAATATTCATTAAAGAATTTAAATCGTTTAATACCCAATACCCAGTATCAAGAGAATTCTATACAGGGGAGAACAAACTGTTAGGGTTATTAAGAACCATTTTTTTTTTTTTTTTTTTTTGGGGGGGGTGCAAGAGACTGACTGAAAGCGCCGCTAGAATTGAAGGACGATACCAACTGCTATCCACATAACTTGACCAATCATCAAATCTACTCTTAAACAATAAAAACCTGATATACAACACAATGTTAAAACCAATATGTACAGGCATGACATTTGTCTATTGCCAAGTATTGTTTATATAATTTTTCTATATGCAGAGAGGGTTTAACCAAACTCTCCACCTTCAAAAATACAAATTCTACAGTTCAAGATCCCTGCATAAAAAATTTAGAAGAAAAACGACTTTCTGCCATATATGTGGAAAATATATTTCAAGATCATTCCATACAATATTTTTTGTATGTGTAGTTTGTATGTATTTTTAAAAGTACAGGGTTTTTTCTGTTTATAATGTTTTGACATGCTAGATAATAAAGGAAGTATGATTGATTTACTTTTCAAAGCACATATCAATCATAGTTTCAAACTTTTGTCTCTTTTATTTTAATTTATTGTTTTATAATGTTATTTATTTTAATTCATTAGAGTTCATGGTCCGATTGACCGAATAATTTTTCTCAATTAATTAATCTTTATGTAAGGTATTGGCTGAGATAAAATTTAGTAAATACCTTACATAAAGATTTATTAATTGAAAAAAGTTATTCGGTCAATCGGACCACGAATTCTAATGAATTTAATAAGTAAAATGAAGCATATCTTCACGAAAGCTCTCCAAGGCCATTTCATTTGTGGCCGAGAATCGAATAGATTACACGACATGTGAAAAATGGTAAAAAGGATGGAAAATTCGAAAGGTGGAGTTAAGATGGGAGATTGGTGTCCGAGTGGATTGAAGTTACGATAGTTCAAGTGGTAGAGCAGCGGCGTATTTAGCCGAGGGTCGTGGGTTCGAATCCCACCCGTGACACTGACTTTAACTCAACCAATACCTTACATAAAGATTAATTAATTGAACAAATTTATTTTAATATTATTTATAACCTTTTGTAATAAACAATAGCTAGTTTATAGATTAGTTTTTGATCTAAAATATGTAAGTTACCTGAAATGTGAAAATAAAAAATAAGTGGAAACCGTGTATTTGGAAAGAACTCATCCGGTTTAACGCGCTTTGCTGTCGGCTAATGGTTGAATAAAGTCCGACCGAACAAAATGAGGCGTAGAGGTGACTGTAAATGTAAATTGTTTTAAAGCCGGCTCAAGTTTCGTAGAACACGAAAGGGGGTTGCATGCATTCCGAATACAACAAAGACAGCCATAAAGGCGAGCAAATTGTCATCTATTACCCTCCTCGGTTGGAACAATTTTGTATCGAGCTGCTCCGCGATCGGTTTGAAAATAATCACAATTGTAGACTGGGTGCAATTTCCCTTTGAGAGGGCAAAACTGAAGTCGGGCGAGGCTGAACCCTGTATAATTTATAATTCCGGCCGTTTAAGGGTGCGCCGTGTTTCGAGCCGTCTACTATAAAGGGATATTGTCGGTATGATGGGAGTAAAGGGCTGAATATGTGACTTGATAGGAGTCGATGTGGGAATGGACTTCTCCTGCATACTAAACACATCCAAGAGATAATCCTCTTCCAAAGGAAATAAACTTTTCCCTTGAAACTCTGGGCGGATTATTGGCTTAAACTATTACTTTCGGTTTATCTGAAAGATTAAAGGGAATTGTTGGGATTTTTTTCTCAAGCGTAACAAACGGGAAGCACTGTCTATTCCGGTCTCTCAAAGTTAAACAAATGTAGGTAGTAATAATGAAACATTGATATTGATTATTTTTTCATTTGTTTGAATGATTGTTTCTCGTTTTGAGTGTTCCGATCATCTATAAAACTAAAGATGATCTCTGAAGTTGATCTTAATAAATATCGAAACGTTGGCACGATAAAGAAAATGTTTTTCTAAAACCTACGTCACACCAGATCGCATCTCACGATCTCCAAATAATCATCGGCTAACGGTCACTAAACACCACACGTATAAAACTAAATAAGCATAAAGATCTTTCTTACACTGAAATAAAATTATAAAACTTTTCAACGATCGTTTGTAATTCGAAAGAAAGTAAATATTTCAAACCTGGAACCTACAGAAAATATATTGTATTATTATGATGTACCTGAATACCTATTTTTATTATAAACACAATGGTGTGTAAACAATAGAAGAGCACAGAAGACATTTAGCCAACGAACTATCAGTTTTAAAAAAATATACCGTAGTATCACTGGTTTTCAAAAATAATTATACATAGACAGGCGTCTGTTTTCGCACGTCCTAACCATGATCTGGGTGCATTCGAGTTTCTATGATATAAATTTTTATGTGTGTTTATAAGTTTACTAGTATTAAAAAGGGTACTGATAACTTGACTATCTACCATGTTGTTTTTTTACGAGAGTTCTCAACAGCAGAGGTGATTATATCAACCCTCGGGGTGGTGCCGGTGATTTTGAAAAAAAGCCCATTTGCAAGTATGTCGGGTTCGAATACAGGGCCACTGGATGGGAACCCTGGACCTTTACCTTACAGTGATGAGCGCCGGGTCAACGCCTAAACCGTTGCAGCCACCGACGCCCCCTCGCGATTGTTATTAATTTGGATTATGTTTTAGATTTAAATTACACTGGTCTTGCATAATTATGATGTACATGTTAGTTAATATGCGTTTTTTTATGATAGAAGCTTAGGTAGAACTCAGTCAAAAATCAGCCAAGTTATACAAATTTTCACTATAAGATTCTATTGGCTTGTTTGAATTCAGTGTAAAATAACTATGAATAAACGAAAATGGCATGCCACCGCGATATTATTCCAAATAAAGGCAATTCTGAAAATTGAATAAAATCCATTTCATTGGAAATTGTTCGTACAAAAGGACAATGCACAAATTCAAATGACTTCGAGGCATGAAGCTTTCCAGGAAGTTTTTAATAAAAGACCACTATATTAAGATAAATTGTTTATTCTACTTGCACAACCCCCCCCCCCGCGGAAGGCTTAAACCCGCAATGCACCCGAGTTATGCGGCTTTATGTCTGCCTAATTCTCTTCATTTTAGTTAGCGAAGGTTCAAAGGCAAGTTTCATGGTAATTTACTAGAGCAAAGGTAAAGACGAAAGTTCATTTAGCCGTGTTCCTCATTAATTGAATGTGTCGGCAGAAGTTGCAACATTACTAGTCCATCTACTAAATGTTCAAAAGTAGGCCTGTCTGCCAATCCTTACAGTTAGTGAGTGTATTGCTGTAAGTGATGGCCAGAGTACTGATGCTAGCAAGAACACAACTACTTAACTTTAAATTAGATTAAGTCCAATTTTTATTTTTATCTATTTAATTTTCTAATGGACAAGATATTTTCATTGTACATTTCAAAAGGTCCTCCTCTTCTGAGCCCAAGGTAAATTTTTGGATGTTTTCGTTAAAGAAATGAAAAGTTATGGCGAGATTTGTAAAATGTCATTGTTTTGAATTTAAAGTGATAATTGATACAAATTTTATTTAATTTAACAACTATTTTATAACATTTTAAAGAAACTGATCGAACTGTAAATCCTTCTCAAAATAGACACACAAAAAAATTATCTATTTGTCATTTGCAGCTATTTGTCAAAAATCGAGAACCTGCTGACAGAATTTATTGTCTGATCTTTTCAAAAGTTGTCTGCGAGCATATCCACTATAAAATTGAACTTATATAACTTACTACACAAAATTATTAGACACGGATTCTTCACTTTTTCGACAGTTGGTTTAAGAACGAAAAAATGGATCGAGCAGAACACCATCGCTGTATAATAGTCAGTTGGTCACCCTGTGATATCAAAGCGACCCAGAAAAATCAATATGATTATATGTATTTTCATGTACATTAACTTCTCTGTTCTAAGGTTATGTAAGACGATGAACATGTGTAGAGGGGCCGCGGTAGCCGAGTGGTTAAGACGTCAGACTCTCGGCTAGTAGATCCCGCGGTCGTGGGTTCGAACCCGTAGCCTCTGGGCATTTTTCTGACGTCTAAGCCGCAATTGAAAGAAATTGACACGGCACTCATCAATGGAAGGGGCGGGATCAGATCTCAGCGACCCTGAATTTGGTCCCAACCCCCTTCAAAAATGAGTTTCTTCGATGGAAGAACACCGACACACCGGGGGCTCAAATTCACACTTGTGTTGCGAACCCCCAAAAATGGAGCCAGGATAAAGTTCAATAAGCTGTATAGTTACAGTGCTCAGGGGGAACTCCTCCAGTTCCTGGTATCCATTGAAAAAAAAATGTTCATGTGAGTATAATTAGTGATACAATAGGAACTTTTAGGGCACCTAGTGTTTACCTACGTGCAATAATGTGCTGCAATAATTTGTGTTCTCCTCGAAACCCCTTCGTGGCGGATTTTGTGGGAAATTGTGAATGCGAAATGCGATAACACGTTTTTATAACTGTTTTAACATGATTGTTTTGAATTTGCAGGCGGCGGAGCGAAAAGTGAAGAGCCGAGAGACACCCGAGAAGGAGAGGACGTGACCCTCGAGTGCAGGTTCTCCCCGACGCTGACAGCCATGAAGCCGGCCTATTTCTGGGTGCGGACGAACCGGATGGACCATGACAACGTGGCCATTCAGGGCACCCCTCTCGATGCCAATTACAGGTAAAATGAGGCCCTTTATTATTCCGGGCGGAAAATTAAATCTGATCTGTAAAACCAATAGCACGTATTCGCGCTGGCCACCTCTCTTTTCCTCTGGGAACCTTTCTGACTAAATAATTGCTCCAGCGTGTTACCGTTCCCTTTTTATCTCGTGATTAGATTCATGCGTGCTCCTGTTCTTTTCTCCAGCTCCGTTCCATTGAAAATGCCGCTTATATTGGATTATTTTTCAATTTGCTCAATTTGTTGTTTCAATTTAAACCTGACCTAAAATCAACAAAATTTGTTTTTAAATAAATTCTGAACACTTATTAGTTTCTAAGCCTATCTAAATCCACCCAATTTAGTTCGAGTAGAATGCATTATTTCAGAACAATTTATAATGTAAAATCAACCTATTCCTCTCAAACAGAAGGACTTTCCGAAGTATTCATGACGAATCACTTCACAATACTTGCACAATTCAAACTACCAATTAAACAAACAAACGTTCAATTCAAAAAATCTTGGGTAATGTTATATAAGATGTTGTTATGTTTATTCGGAGATAGTGAGATGCGGTCTGGTATGACGTAGGTTTTAGAAAAATATTTTCTACGACTCACAAGAATGACACATCTACACGGAAAACAATTACTTTGAGTGAGTAAAAATACTTTGATTAAATCTAAAATTTTATAGCATTGTATAAATTCATTTTTTTAATCTAATATTTTCTATCATTGTATAAATTCATTTGTTTTAATCTAAAATTTTCTAGCATTGTATAAATACATTTTTTTATCTAAAATTTTTTAGCATTGTATAAATTCATTTTTTTAATCTAATATTTTCTATCATTGTATAAATTCATTTGTTTTAATCTAAAATTTTCTAGCATTGTATAAATACATTTTTTTATCTAATTTTTTAGCATTGTATAAATTCATTTTTTTTTAATCTAACATTGTATAAATATCATTGTATAAATTCATTTTTTTCATCTAACATTTTCTAGCATTGTATAAATTCATTTTTTTTTTAATCTAACATTTTCTACCATTGTATAAATTCATTTTTTTAATCTAAAATTGTCTAACATTGTATAAATTCATATTATTATTTTTTCATATCCTACATGTATTTGTAAAATTTAAACAATGTTTTTAAATCCCAGGCCCTGAAGATGATCTCAATACGGATCGAAACGTTGGCACGATAAAGAAAATGTTTTTCTAAATCCTACGTCTCACCAGACCGCATCTCACGATCTGCGAATAATCATTAACTAACGGTCACTAATCACCAAATATTCAGTTTATTGCAGCCAAGTCTGAGATTTATATATGAGAAAAAACAAGAAAGAAATTGTGCATATTTCTCTATTATTTATTACAACTAGGTTTAAGCTGAAAAAAATACCAAAATCTTATCCCTGAATTTATGTCAGCCGAATGGAAATCGACTAAATCACTTTAATAGAACATACCGGGTTATTGAGATATTCAACCCTTCTGGAAATGTTGTTTTCACGAGGCATAAAGTAGCGGGTGGGTATGGGGATGAATATTGCTGAGACGGGTTTGAATAGATCATACAAGAGCATTTTCTGATTGTTTTTGGATCCGGCCCAAAATAAAGAAGGGGTACAACAAGAAGCAGCAGGGACCACGGATTGTCTCTATTTCTTCCTTTATTCGTGGGCAAACCTACTAATTTAACTTTGGTCTGGCCCGTGAGCCGCTCGTAGTAAATAGGAGCCATTAATTTAACTTTGGGTAATAAAGGGGGCAAAGGTAGGACAAGATAAACTATGGCAAGAGGTTCGCAGGGTCATTACTCTGGGATGACGCAGCCGATCTAACGGTATTTACTCCTCCTGTCTCTCCGCTGAATTAACACAAGACGCACACGTTTGAGTGTTTGGGCTTTTTAAAGCCACTGTTCAGCCTAATGTAATATGCGCGAACAACGGACGAGGGATAATAAATAAACTCAAACGGTGTATAACTCACGGGGTCTATTTTTGCCCCCTTGGGATATCCAGGTGCCTTTTCCATTAGCCCGATCCGCAATCCTAGGAGTGGCCAATCTCGACATCGACAGAAAAACAAATTTACAGCACATCTGGTCAAGATCAAATCCCCGCTGCCGGGAAAAGAAACATTTTGAATCAATCTCGCGTATAAATTCCAACCTTTCCTTACTTGAAAGATCAAATCTGATTTGAGTGATTCCTAAAATTATGCCTGTGAGCACTAAACAAATCACTTTATATATTAAAACGTAAAGTATAAATTAAATTTGCTACTTGTTCAATTTGGGAAAAAATGTCCGCATCAATATTATTACTTCAAAATCACCAATGTCCTAAAAATTATATCCATCATATATTAATATATTTAGTAAATAATAATTATATTACTTCCAAGACAATCTATGGAACAATGTGTCTTGTACATACATTGTTCTGTGTGCAAAAACAAAAGTACATTAATTACTGCACAAGTGTAAGGGTTTTGTTCTTTGTGAAAGACGACATATTTCATAGAGCAAAGCTACTCAGCTGTGTTGGTACAAATTAATAATTTTAACCGCTTGTATAACTTTGAAGCCAAAGTTAATGCTTTAGTAATTACAAGTTTAAATTAACTAGCTGTTTCTTTAATAATTATAGAATCTTTACTGTGATGCAAAAAGTTAATGCGAGTTTAAAAAGTTAAGTATCTAGCACATCAAAAATAATGGAAGCAAGAAGAAAATTTTTAAAATTTTAAAATTTATTCTGCACACGAATCCAAGAGTGCATAATCGTAAAAGTTGAAAGCATCTGTTGATCATAAGATCGCTTTAAGGATTACTTCTTTTTTAAAACGGTGAGATTTCTTCTTGGTAGGTGAGGTAATGAACTTCTGCTCGGTCGTTTACGATCATTTAAGCCTGAAAGATATAATACAACAATAAAATAAACGTCTTATTTATAACATTTATAATCAAGTATAAATGTTCATTAAATATAATTAATTAGTTGGAGATCGTGAGGTGCGGTTTGGTGTGACTTAGGTTTTAGAAAAACATTTTCTTTATCATGCCAACGTTGATCTTTATTGAGATCATCTTCAGGCTCAGTGTGTCATTCTTGTGTGTCGTGTTGAGAGTGGCAGACTGGCATGATAAAGAAAATGTTTTTCTAAAACCTACGTCACACCAGACCGCACCTCCAAATAATAAAACAAACATGCAGATTCAACTACTGCAAAAGGAAAATAGTAAGCACAGAGAGTCTAGAAGGCCTATGATATAGAATTTGGTTAATCAGAGGCAATAAAAATAAGAACAAAAACCGTTATCGTTATATCATTCCTTTTACAGAGTATAATATATTTACTCACCTTTTGATAAAATCTTCCCATTATTAATACAAATTCACCACCCTCCTGTCGCGTCTGAGATTAATTAATTATTTCTGATGCATACCCGTCTGTCAAGCACGCTCCATTTGTTATAATAAAGCCTGGGGTAGCCGATGAAAGCCGCTGTAAACAAATCTGCCCCGTCTGTCCACGGAGTCTGTTCATTCGTTAAAAAAGGGAAAATGAATGAATTGCCGGTGAAAAGAAGCTTTGAGCCTCGGATTGGTAACATTGTCCAATGTTTTAATGCTCCCTTTCGTGAAACCGAGACCGGGGTTCGGCAAGTTTCCAAAAGGGCTACGAAGGGCCTTCGGTACCGAGTTCAAACGCGTCCTTCGATCGTAGGAATAATGCTTTGACCATTTCCTTCTCCCCCTTTTTTTCTCCTACTTATCCCATCAAATCCTTTTCCATCGGGTTTGTAATTTTGTATACAGACCGATATTTTTCCTCCTTTTTTGGCCGTTATGACTGAGCGAGTCCGGTTATTTATTTAAGAAATATCACAAGAGATTTCGATTCTTTATTGAATATTGAGGAAATGTCAACTTAATCTTGTACTACTTGTAAAATTACCAGTTACACGTCTACACTAAATAGCTGTAATTGCTCAAACATGCCATTAACAGTTCAATTATAAATTATATTAATATAATTTACATTTTAGTGGTCAATTGACCAAGTTACTTCTTTCTATTAATTGTTCTTTCTATGTAAGGTCTTGGTTGAGATAAAAAAGTCAGTGTCAAGAGCGGGATTCGAACTCACGACCTTCGGCTAAATACGCCGCTGCTCTGCCACCTGAGCTATCGTGATTTCGATCTTCTCGGACACCAACTCTCCATCTCAACCTGCAACCGTTCCAATTTTCCCTCTTTTTGCCATTTTCAATATAAATAAATATAAATTATATTGTTAAAAAGCATAATTGAAATAAGATCAAGATTAGATTTTTAAACCAACGTCGTGGGATAATCGAGCAGCATCGCAGGGACAAACATCGTAGATAATAATAGGAATTCTAAGTTTCTTTGATTGAATACTACTTTGGCCTGACTGACACAATGCAAAAAAAATAGCATTTTAAATGTTGGTTCAATTTAAACATCGGTTTTTTTTTCATGACTTGTCTACAATTTGTCAAACGACGTTAATTCCATACAACAAACTACTAATCTACAAGATAACTGAAACATAAATTGTTAAACCTTTACTACGACATAAGCATAAAAGGAAACTTATTAAAACTCGTTCCCAACGACAGATCAATAAACTGAACCGATTTGAAGGATAAAAGATTCTCCCATGATAAGGATGTAATGTGTCTGTCTATGCAGTCTGTATTTTTTTACTTGCCCTTTATAGCCAATATGACTAATAAAATTATACATTGGAATAATTGAACACATTTTTCTGATGAATGATTATCCTGGCCCGTATAATATCGCAGTATTCTCAGTTCAACAAACTCTTTAGGATGAGGCTGTTATGAATTGGCAGGATGTAAATCGACCAGAAGAAAGTGTATTATTTTCAATGAACTTTGATTAAAAAATAAATTTATTTGATAAAAGTGCTATTTATTTTTATTTTTTTTTTTTTTAATTAGCTGTTACCTCGATTTAATTCAGGATAGAACTGAAAGAAGTTTAGTCCGGTACGAATTTACGTAATGGGTTTTTCTTCTTTTCTGCGTGTGAAACGTTCTGGAAGGAATTTTCTTATTGCGTTGAATGATGAAAGAAGTTTGTAGGCTGACAAGTAGGAAATAAACATTTGATTAGGAAAGTCACCCGTGGGAGAGAAAGAAACGCGTATCTAATCGTGAAAAGAGTTAAAGTGAGTTATCTTGCTGTCACCTGTTGTTTGCCCGGAGAGAACTGGGGCAGCGGTCCTCACATGGTGGACAGAGATCCGTTGAGACCCAGTTACAAGACCGGTGTCAAATTTCACGGCCGGTCGATCTCTCCAATTAGCTAATTGATCCGATTTTCTCTTTTTTTCAGGCTGGACTTCCGGCCGGAGGAGGGCTACTACGACCTGCACATCTCGAATATCAGCTATGCCAGGGACGACGGCAAATTCGAGTGCAGGCTCAAAGTCGGCGGAAGCGGAAAAGATATCCATTCCCAGGCGTACGTCGTCACTGTACTCACACCGCCCGGCCCTCCGAAAATCCATCCTTCCACTACTCCTATCGCAACTGAAGGGAAACCCCTAGAACTGACATGTGCGAGCAGAGGAGGAAGCCCAGATCCTCTAGTCAGGTAATAACAAAACTTTTATAATTAATCAAGTTTTCAAATTTTCAAGATTTTCTTCTAGTACACAAAATTTTATTATTCTTGGAGTAATATGTAGCAAAGTAATTTTGTAATATCCCCTAATGAAACATGGACTGCTATATCAATTTACTTCCTTATATTATTAAGACTAATAAATCTTTTATTATGAGAGAAAGGGAGCTCTTTTTAATAAAGCGACCAGGAATTTTTCATGAATTAAAACGTTGTATATTTATTTTTCCCTGTAAATATTCCAGACGCTTCATGCGATACATAATTGTATGCTATTAATGTTCTCTCTCTCTCCCTCCCTCTCTTCTTTTTTTTTCTAATTTTTACATTGTTTTTAATAATTATTTATTTTCTTGCAGGTGGTATAGGCAGGGTCAAAATGAACCAATTGAGGCTGCAGTAAAAAGTACAATTGATCAAGGAGTAGTTTCCACTCTTACACTGAAACCAGACAAATCGGATGATGGAGCGATGTTCAGATGTGTCGTGTGGAATAGAGCTATGCCTGCCGGGGTTAAACTCGAAGAATCCGTCAATCTTAATGTTAATTATTATCCCCGTGTAGACGTAGGACCTGAAAATCCTCTTAGGGTGGAGCGTGATGGTACAGCAGTTCTTCAGTGTAACGTTGATTCCAAACCTAGGGTCAATAATGTACGATGGATCCGAGATGGAAGATTCATATCTACTTCTTTCAAACATACTATCCAAAGGGTGACTGTTCAAGATTCCGGAAAATACAGATGTTCAGCAGATAATGGTCTCGGTCAGGCCAAAGAGGCTGAAGTATATTTAGATGTTCAGTATCCACCTTTGGTGAGTATTGAAACCGGTCCTGGACTAGCTAGACAAATTGAAGCAGAAGAAGGAGAAATGGTCACAATCAAATGTAACGTCTCAGCAAACCCACCCCCAATCACTGTCGAATGGCTCAGAGAAGGACGCCCTGACTTTAGGCAAAATGGAGAGGTTTTAAAATTGCACAGGGTTGCTGCTGATTCAGCAGGCACTTATATGTGCAGAGCCACTAATATCCTCAATCCAACAACAACAACAAGGCAGAGGAGTAACCGAGTAGGAAATGCAACAGTTACTTTGCTCGTACGCCACAAACCTGGAAAAGCCCAGATTACTCCTGACAGACCAATTGCCTCAGAAGGAAATGGAGTTACGCTGACATGCTCAGCATCACCTCCAGGCTGGCCTACTCCTCAGTACAGGTGGTGGAGGGAACTTGATGACTCAACACCAACATCGCAGAAAACTGTTTTGGCAACTGGACCCAAATACAACATCCCTTCTGCACATCTTGGCAGTGAAGGAAAATACCATTGTGAAGCAAATAATGAAATAGGCCACGGAGAAAAAGCGACTGTAGTACTTACAGTATACCAACCACCAAGATTCCTAGTCAAGTTACAACCACATCAAACAAGAAGGTAAATCATTTGATACATATATTGTTACATATATAGCAAAATATTTTTTATGTCTATTTTAAAAATCTTTCCTCTTTTCAGAATTGGTGATACAGATTTTAGTGTTACTTGTGGTGCACAAGGTAAACCGAAACCCTCAATAAAATGGTTAAAGGATGGTAAAGAAATTTCTAACAAGATGTATGATGTATCAACAGATGAGTCAGAAGGTAGAAAATCTAAGTTTTGACCGATCGTTCATTAAGTAGTATGGTTGAGAAATCCATGTTAGTAAATTAATAAGGAATTATTTTAGGACGGAATGCAGTTTTTACAGTACAAAGTACATTAAGGTTTGTTGGACGGGACCGTCCTAGTGGAAGCCAATTGATACCAGCAGACAGGGGTGTTTATGCCTGCATATTTGAAAATGAAGTTAAAAAAGCCGAAACCACTATGCACCTTCGAATTGAACGTAATATGACTTTATTACCTTCAATGTTTATTTTAAGAATTTTTTTAACAAAAATATGTATATTTCAGATGAGCCAATAACTCTTCATAGATATAATAAAGTAGCTTATGATCTCAGAGAAACAGCAGAAGTTATTTGCAAAGTACAGGCATACCCGAGGCCAGAGTTCCAATGGAGTTATAGCACGAACACAGCGCCACTTCTTTCAGGAGCAGATGGCCACTACGAAATTAATACAACAGTAAATGAAAGTGGGGGAGACATCTATACATCGGTTCTTCAGATCTCGCACCTCCGTCAAGCTGATTATGGAGAGTACAACTGCAGGGTTGCCAACACCCTCGGAAGCGTAAAAACACAAATAAGACTGCAGCCAAAAGGACCTCCAGAGAAACCGGAAGCCCTACATGCCATTGATATTGGCCACAGTTACATTGCTCTCCAATGGACTCCAGGATTCAATGGAGGACTGCATAGCACAAAATACTTCATCTCTTATAAGAGAGTTCTGACCACACTTAACGATGATTGCTACGCACCAAGGAAGTCTGGAAACGTTGAAAGTTGGCATGAATTCGATTGTCAAACAAAGAACCCATGCAATGTAACATCCCTTGAACAACACCAAAGCTATTTATTTAAGGTATATATATTATTATCATTATGGTTTTACTGACTTCTCTTACAAATTATTACTTTTAGGTTAAAGCTTATAACACTAAAGGGCAGAGTAACTACTCTGATGAAGCACCTTCAATGACCAAAGTAGACCGAATTCCTGCACCTCAAAGAGTCACATTTGACCCAGAATCACATCAACTTACAATCAATATCGCTGCTACATGCTTACAACTTGTAAGTCTTAGATATTTATTTTTTTAAATCCTCTTGTTGATAGTAAAAAAATTAATTCTTACTCGGATCACAGATTGCCATGGTTGAAGTGTCAACAAGTGTGTACGGTCATGACTGGAGATTGGTTGAAACGATGTCATTATCGCCATCTGGAACGACATCAAGGAGGGAAGCAACTGTTCTTTCCCTAATGCCAAGACGAGCTGCCAAGACTTCAGGAAGGTCACTAGAAATCCCAAGCGATGAAAACATCCTGGACAACCACAACAGCGAAAGTGTACGTGTGCGAGTTCGCTACTGCTTGCAGTCAAACAAAGAAACTTGTGGAGATTATACTGAAGCTGAAAGTAGGTTTTTTTTATTCATTCATTTCTTAATTATTATTAATTGTTTAAATGGGACAAAATTTGATTTTTTCTTCTCAAATTCTAGTTGGCCCTGCATATATTAAAGAAGCGGGCACTATTGCCATTCCTACTCTAGTCGCCATTGTTTCCTGTGTTGTATTCATATTGCTCAGTGCTCTTGCAATTGTGTTCTGCTGCTGTAGAAAAACACATGTCAAGAAAGCCCAGAGCAAAGATTATGAAATGGAATCTTCCACGTAAGTTTAAAATACATATTAATTTGTAATTACATAAAAGTGTTATATATGTTGTACATTTTATGTCAAGTAAACTGCACTTGTTAATTTATAAAACTCTTTAAACAGTGTACACCCAAGTATTGTCCAGCAAGCACCTCCACCCTATTATCCAGCTTCAGGGATGGAAAACAAAGGATTGGAGCATTCCATGGATTTAGCACTGGAAGAACAAAACAAAGCGGCTATATATGCTTCTCAAAATGGCTACGGGTACCATGTCAGTCAGCCAACACATCCAAACGGAGGTGAATGTGAGTTGTAATATTTCAATTAGAATAGTCGTTACTATGAAGTAACATTGGAACAAATTGAAAGCAGCTCTTTACGATCTTAAGCTGGGTTTCTATTGCACAAAAAAATCACTCGCGAAGCGCCGTCTCGGGTTAACCATTTCCACTAGGGAAACTAGGTTAACCGTTAGTTTGCCCAAGACAAGCATGCCGTTTATAACTACACCAACTGCTGCAACAGCGATGGTATCCTGGCAATCCATTTTTGTACTTTTTGTCTTTGTCCCATTTTGATGCTCATTTTCCTCCATGCATCATCTATCTTATCCTTGTTATGATGTTTTATGTTTAGCATCCCACAAAAATCATAGTGGTGATACATTCGGACAAGCGGAATGCAGTCCGCCTGGTTCGTTTTCATACTCCAGACAAGTGCATGTACGTGAAACACTTTGATGTGCACTAAACAACTGACAGCCAGTATCATCCTCGCAAACAAAGTATCGCAGTCCCAGCAAGGAACCCACAACGTGAGACAAGTTTCACAAAACAGTTGCACGAGTGATTTTTGTATAGTGGAAACCCAGCTTTAAAAATCCAATATAAATTTTAAAATTTCAAATATCAGGGGAATGCGGTAGCTGAGTCAGTATTAGACTCTCTGCTTGTAGAAGGTTTAATTCCCACCGTTGCCCTTGGTTTATTTTCATACTCCTCTACCCTCAAGTAAACAAATAATAATCGCATTCTCTAAATTATTTTTCTGGTGAATATTGAAAAATAATGATTAAAAAATTAATAAATAAAATTTAAAAAATTACAAATTGATTGAATAAAATTCTGGAGTCCATTTTCTTTGCTTTTTACAAATTCATTTTGATTTTATATTAATTCATCTTGAAGGTTTTAACGGCAACAAACAAGCAAATAAATTAGCCTGAAAAATGTAATTTTGTAAACCTATCATGATTTTTATTAATATATTAGTAAATAAAAATATTCTAGCATTAATCAATCATGAAAATCATAACAATTTTTCCTATACCCTATAATAATCAAATTATTAAAAGCAGATTATTTATGTTTTATAGCCAGCAATGACAAGGCTGAAGGTATAATGTTGTTTTACATTTTAACATAATTCCATTGCATATATAATGCCATATATTAATTTAATATATTTTTCTACAGGGAATATGGGATACATGGAAAACAGCTATTCAAATTCAAACAACGGTGGATCTGTGAACTCACAGGACTCTCTCTGGCAAATGAAAATGGCCGCACAAGCTAACAACGCCGCAAACCTAGCTGCCACACAGGAACATCATCATCACCACCTCAGCGATCGCAACAACCATTATGGTAAATACATTCTGCATTATTATCAATTGAAGAAAAAAATTTACATAGAATTTTCTCCAGGAGTATATGATCCTTTGACGCATGGAGGCTACGGCACAGTTGATGATTATGCACCTTACCCTCATCTTATGACATCAACTACTCCTGACTATTCACGAAGCAACAACCCATCTCGCCAAGAATATGCACCAGACAAGACTCTTCGACAACATCACATGGGTACATATTGTTAAAAATAAATAACTGGATTTACCACAGGAAAGAGTGTTCATAACTAAATCTAGCTATTGAGGCAGTTTTGTTTATAAAATTATTAATAGTAGGTACATATTTTACAAAAAAAAAAGTTTTTACACAAACAAACACTGTGATCTTACATAATTGATATGTAAACAACATTTTTTTTTGTAAATTATTGATTTACTTTGCTAGTGTAAAACAAGATTTATTTTTGAAAATGCAATTTTTTTAACGATATAATGTTTTGTAAATTTTTTTATTTAACGCATTACTAGCAAAGGATGTTTTCCTTTGTAAGTAAAATCTATTTTACCAAATACATAAGACCAAAAAGTTAAAATGTTGGCAACAAGTATAGGTTTGGTTTTGGTTTCAGAATCCCCTTATCATGATGTGAGCGGCTTGCCTGATCCTTATATGGATCACCACATGATGATGGATCCTGAAGAAGCGATGAAACACCAGCAACAGCAGCATTTGCCCATGACTTTCGATGAAACCTTAGAATCAGGCTACTCAACACCCAGTTCAAGAGCAGGGCGCATGATACGTGAAATAATTGTCTGAGTACAGCTTCATGACGACGATATGCCGTCAAAAGACAAAGGGACATACTCGTAATATTAGAACACTTTGTGTAAATATTTTATGGAGAGAGAAGAATATTTTTACGAATAGTTTTTAATTGTAAATATTTTGTAAATAAGCGAAAGTGAAATGAACCGATAGATCTCCAAGACTCTTTTCTTTTGTTTTTGTAAAAAAAAAATGGTGGCAATTTGTTTTAATTGGTACAAGTGAAATTTTAACCAGTTTGTATCCGCATGGTTTGACTGGTTGACTGACAAAACTAGGACTTGAATAAATAATGAATCTTACCAATGCAGATGCTTGGGGAAAAGATTACACTGTGCACGAAGCAATTTTTAAATTATAGTGTTCTGTGTGTTTTTAAGGATTTCTTCAATTGAGTACAATTAAAATTTAAAAAATCATTGTGATTTATGAACGATGATTTACTTCAACAATGAAATATCGTTAGGCATAAAATCTGAATGGATCAGTTTGTTATGGAGTTTGTCATCATCTCTGTTAGCCAATATTTATGTGATATGACTAATTTTATACTAGAGTGAACCATTTTAATGTTAATTTGAGGAATTGAACTTTAATTTTTGAGTCTTGTTAGTAGACTTTACACATTTAGTGCCATTTGAATTCGGACTTGATTAAAGTCAATTGCATTGACTGTTATTTTTCTTTAAAGGTGACCATTTTTGTTTAAATTTGTGTGTATATAAATCATAAAATGTGTGTACCACTTTAAAAGAAATCTTTGACTTTTTGTCATAATGCTCAATTATTATGTACAGTTAGTTTTAAAGACTTGTTGCTAGTCAGCAGGAGAATTTGTAATCTGTGTCATCGCCTGAAACATTGAATTTCAATGTAATTAGTGTTTATTTTTATTTACTAGGTTTATGATTTCTTTTACATTTGTTATTGAAAAATTTTTGTACTAGTTTTACAAATTTTCCTCTTAGGCAATTAAATCTCTTAGTTTGAGGGGCCTTAATTAACAGCTAAGGCCCTTGAAATCACGAGATTTATAATGAACAATTGTATATATCTTTTTTTTAACGAATTTGTGTAAAATAAAAAAATGTAATTTAAAACTTATAAATTGTACATAAAACGTTATACATACTATTACAAATTTTATCTTGTTGATTAATTTCAGCATCTTTTACATGTACTGAAACTCATTCTCTCTCAAACAAAAAAAGATGAGTGTTTTTGTAAGCTATTTAAGCAAATTGGGAAACAAGATATAATGTATAGTGCTTTAAATAAATGTAAATTTCTAGCTTTCGCACAGAATGCATGGTACTGGATATATTTAAAACATTGATTGAAACCTGTGTTTTGCTGGTTCATATGTGTTGTTTTGTACAAAACTCAAACTTTTGAAATTGAGTCTGTTAACTGTAGGCCCTTTTTTTACTGAGTAGAAAAATTATTAGTAAGTAGTACAACAAATTGCAGGAACACTTTGAGCAGTCAGACAACAAAAAACTGCCAGCAAAAAATAGCTGGTCACACAATTTTTACATGTTTATTATAAATGTTTGTCCTGTAAGCATGCAAAAAAATGTCAAAATTTTTATTGTTAATCTGATTTATAAGACTTTGATATTATTCTAACTGTATAATTTTTAAAAATAGTATTATATATTTTTTTAAAGTGCATGTATTTATTTAATGTTCTTTCCATTTTTTCATAAAGATGAATTTTCTTTTATATAAACATTTTTAAATATATATAGTATTTCAGTTGCAATCGTTGAGATCTCAATTTTTGTTAATTTTTGTTATTTTTTTTCACAAATATTTTATTAAGAAATCTTGATCTGACTATTGATAAATGAATTTTATTACTATTATAAATATATATAATGGAAATTGTAACTTCAACATTTTAAATGTCATCATATAGTATATGTATTTTTCACATATTGTATTTTGTTTAAATTCTGAGAAAAAGCTTGTGTACAGGTTGAAGTTATCATAATAAAAAAAACTTGTATAGTTAATCATGTTTATTGACCCAATCCTTAATATATAGCCGATCATAAAAGTGCTGTTTTTTTAAATACATAAATTTTATAAAGGTAAAAAAATCTGCTTTAACAAACACAAAATTTTGCCTTACTTGTCTTTTGTTTGAAAATTATATGCCGAACATGAAATTTTTAATAAGGAGAAGGATCATGTTGATATTTCCTTGTTTAATTTTGATACACTGCACAAAATATTTTCATTGCTTGCTTGTTTTGTTTCACTTTATCTTTTCACTGATAAAGGCATTGTGGTGTTGATAAGGTAGTGATGGGGAAGAGTTTGTTATTAAAACAGCAATATTTCTGTGTGCAAAAGTTACAGCAAACAAGATTGCACACAGAAAATATTTGCGCTTTAACGTTGGAAAAAGAAGGTAAGTACTGTTTTGATTCTATGAACAAGTGGAATTTTAAACTTTTTATGACAGGTTTATGAGAAGAAATAGTAAAAAACAGCATAAAAATAATAAGTTCGAACAATCGATTAATAATTGTTGGTTAAAATTGTTTTTATTAAATATTGAATTACTTTTAAGAAGGAAAATAATACTAACTTTAACAATTTTGAAATTATCGATTAAAATATCAATAACCATCAAATTATCAATTTTTTATCACTGCAGTATTGCCATATGAGTGTGAAGTATGCTTTTTGTTTTATTTTCTAGTCTGGATGTTATTCTTTTAAACATACTCAAAGACAAAAACTGGACACTCGTGTTTTGTCGATTCGTTGTTCTCGTAGAAGACAAACCAGACACTCATGTTTTGTTGTTTCTTTTTGTTATATGTTTTCTGTATGTATGTATTTTATTATTTCATTAATCACAACATACTTATTCTAATAGAAATAATTGAGGTGGGGTGAGTGTATCGATAAGTAAAGGCTTGCTCTATTCATGAAATTTTATTAGCAACTATTCAGATTTCAAGCATTAAATGCTCATCATCTGGTAACTCCTTCAACATGATGATGAGTATTAATGTTCAAAATCCAGATAGTTGCTAACAACAATTTTGTGAGAGAATAATCCTTTACAAAAAATAATTATTTTAATGTTTTCTAATAAATTGGTAACATCGAATGACACTAATAATCACTAGGTAACTTTAAGTTATTCATTGGTTTAGTTTAGAAGTAGAACCATTCTTTTCAACTATTAATATCTTCAAAAATTTTAATATATTTTCAAGACTATTTATTTTTATCATCATATTAATTACAACATTTTTATTTTACTGTAAACCAACCAAATTAAACGAGATCAGAAAATCATGAGTTTTAATCAAAATTTGTTTGAGAGGAAATTCAACAAAACACCGAAAAATCGTTTAGTGACAGATCAAAATATTATGAACAATTTATTCTATTTTAGTATTTTCCAGTGTTTTAGTGAATTTTCTTCAAACCATCAAAATTAAATATTTTTATTAAAACATGAATTTCGGATTTTGTTTAATTTGGCCATTTTCATCATTAAGCTTTGAAGTTTTTGTTTTGGATAGTATTAATGTTCAATTATTACTCTATTATAGATTTTTTATCACTGAAAATTTTGGCATAAATTTTGGTTATCTGTCATTTAAGATTATGTTTTGCTGCAGTTTCAATTAAATATGTCTATGCTGGTACATTTCAGTCAAGATGAAATTAATTTTCAAAAGTCCAGCTTTCTATTTAGCTACCTTATCTTTATATTATTAAATTATATAAAATTATAATTTTATATTAATAATATTTTCAAAGTTCTTATGAAGAGCTTAATTCCTTAAAACTAGATTAAGGAATTGTCTGTTTTTTGTTTGTTTTTTTGTTTTTTTTACCCCTTTAAAATTTGTCTTATCCCTAATATTTTAAATTATATTTTACATCATTTATATCACGATCAGTTTTAACCATCGAGGACTAATGAATATTATATAACAATTTGTTTGTGCTAAATTTATTACTTTAATAAATTGATAGAGAATTGTAGGCTGACAGATGATGGTGATGAGAGAAAGGAAAGTTTCTCGGCTCAGGTTTTCCTGCATCAAGTCTGCATTTAAATTAATAAAATTAGCAAGTCATGACAGAGTTATGTAAATATATAATTAGTGTTTTTATTCCCCCCATGTGATAATGGATAGAATAAAAACTTAATGAAGTTTATGTACTAAAGTTCATTATGTTAAATTGAGTAGCATTTTTTAATAATTCATTTTTTAAAAATAATTCTTTTGGAGAAGTATTTAACAAAAAACATAATGGCCGATTTATTTCCTGACAAACCAACAAAATGGAAATTAGAATAATACTAGTATTCTCTGTGAGTAGAAACATACACAAAAAAAAGTAACAGGTGTCTGATCTATGATGTGTAACATCTGCCTGACCTGGGGAACAAAAGGAAAAATCCTGTCCTGGTTAAATGGGGCAAACATCTAACACTGGACGGACTTTATTACTTTCGATATTAGCCGAAGGATTTTTGGTGTTTGAAATAGGAAAATTTAATATCTAACATCAAAAACATCGATCGGCAAACATGGCAGACGACAAGCCGTCTTTTGAACTTTGAAACACGTCGTCGTAACTTCGATAAAAAGGCCGATATAAAAAAATAAAAAAATTAGCACTGATAGCACGAGAAGCAAACATGGCTCCCTAAGGCGGAGTCACACTTTTCTAGAAAACCTAAACATGGTCACGTCGCGGAAAAAAATTACTTGAATATACTTGTTATTTATTTACTTGTCAAAATTTATGTCAAATAAATATAAGTTAACCGCCCTTATGTTTAACGGACAAAAATGACGATCATTCTGAATCAATGTATGGTCTTTGAAGAACAAAGCAAATTCAGTTGTTACTGCCAACTTTCGATATATTTTACGGCCATCAGGGCAAAACAATTAACAATTACAAATTAAAAATTAAATTTGTCTACAGATTGACATATTTAAGTTTTATACAGGCGATCTCAAATTTCCTTGAAGAATTACTCTATCTCAATATCCTTGGCAATGTTAGCACTGAGTCTTCAAGGAAATTTGAAATCGTCTGTAAAAAAATCAAATATGTCGATCTGTAGACATATTTAAGATTGTTTTGCCCTGGTGATGACCTTAAAATAGGCCGAAAGCTTGGCAGTAATAACTGAATTTGCTTTTTCTTTCAAGACCTAGATCCAGAGTGTTCGTGAGTGAAAAAAAGTAGTCGATACTTCCAATACTGAAAAATTATTGATCACTGCGAAGAAATGTCACTAAAAGTTGGTCGATAAAATATCAAACACTTCATACAAACATGCGTTGATAGATCGTACTATAACAATAATTTCACTAATTTCGAGGTCCACTTGACCAATTAATATATTACAATTAATTAAGGTTTTTAGTTGAGATAAAAAAAGTCAATGGCACGAGTGGGATTCGAACCCACGATCTTCGGCTAGATACGCCGCTGCTCTACCACTTCAGCTATCGTGACCTCGGTCCACTCGGACACCTACTTCCCATCTCAACCCCACCTTTTGAATTTTCCCTCCTTTTTTATCTCATCTAAAAACCTTAATTAATTGTAATATATTAATTGGTCAAGCGGACCACGAAATTAGTGAATTTAATGATTTAAAATGAAGTATACTTCACTAAAGCTCTCCGTGGCCATTTCATTTGTCTTCGAGAATCCAATCCGATTACACGACATTTGAAAAATGGCAAAAAGGAGGGAAAATTCAAAAGGTGTGGTTGAGTTGGGAAGTTGGTGTCCGTGTGGATCGAGGTCACGATAGCTCAAGTGGTAGAGCAGCGGCGTATCTTGCCGAAGATCGTGGGTTCGAATCCCATTGACTTTCTTATCTCAACTAAAAATTTTAATTAATTGCAATATAACAATAATTATTTACCCATAGTCTTAGTTACAAGATCATCCCTTGAATATTTTAAAAATTAATTCCGTGTATTAGAGAAGCGAAAGTTTTAAAGCTTAATAAAAGGAAGAGTACTATGTGTGGGCACTGTAATAACTCTAAAATTAGTAGTGAGATATATTCAAATTGTAGGTTATAATTATAAGTTTACAAAGGGAAAAAATGAAAAGTTCTACTCAAAACAATAAAAATGTTAACCAATTTGAGTTGATATCTTTGAAATATTCTTGGTTGATCAAGTATTTGGCCGATTTGTTAACAGTTGTATAGTTTCATCTATTTTTTTTTTTTATTATGTACCTGACAGAATCAGTACTCCCTCACGTTCGATCTCAGTCATGGTATTTCCTTCCGAGTTTAATATTTACACAATTTATTTCATTTTTTTACTTCAATAGCCATTAATTTAGTAAACAAATTCACTTTCATTTAAACTAAGATCAAACGCAATATGAAACACATCGTAGTTTGTAATAAACTCTAGTTAATTGTTAATTATCTCAAGGAGCAACAACTTGCCAGACGCTTGCTATTATCATTTGCGAGATGAGATGGAAGGCGAACTTCGCTGAAGCGTGAAGTTTCGAAACGCTCTAAATCCTTTCAGCCTTTCCATCCCTTACTCAAGAAGCCTTGTCTACTTGTTAGGATCCAATTCCATAAATTGGATCGTCGACTAGTCGACATTCCAGGTATACAACAGGCTAAATTTTAAATATGACATGTGTTTTGACACGGTTAGTTTAATGTTCCTCTGGGTTTGATGTTTCAAGAATAAATTATTCTCTTTTATTTATTACTTGTAAAAACGTAAGTTCTATTTTAAATAAACCGGAATAAAGCAAAGTTGAAAAAGACAACATTTTCTCATACGTTGGAAAATTTCACAGCATTAGAAGCAAGTGGATAACACTGGTAACGCTCTATATGAGCATAGTTTTTTCCTTCTAAACCATGAGGCTCTTTTGATGTGTCATTTTATCGGCCTGCTGAGTTGCTATGTGGTACGAGTATCGAGGAGAAAACCATCAAAGAAAAACTCAAAAAATTATAGTCAAGTTTTCGAATTATTTAATGCCTTCATCAGAGCTACAATCTATAACTTAAAACAAACAACTTGAGTTGTTTCACCTCTGATACGGACGCTATAAAAAAAAAAATATATATATATATGTATATATTTTTTGATGCTATTTGTTCTAATTTAAGATATAGATTATAGTTTTAATGAAAGCATTAAAATAAGCAGAAAGTTTGTCTACAATGTTTTGAGTTTTCCTTTGCTAGCTCCCTCCCCGATACTAAACTATGACGATTCGTAATTTGTATGTTTTTTAAGTTCTGACACAAGTTGAGACCCACCCTGTCTTCAAGCAAAGTAAACACGAGAAACTAAAAAGTTCTAGCTATCTTTCTGCAATTGCTTCCTCATCATAAACAAAAACCATAACTGGCACTATGCTTTAGAAATTGGCAGAAAGTATTATAACGTATCATATTTTAATAGTCAGTTGTTATAAAAAAGCAAGTATATCAAAAATGTGTGGTAATTAGTGACCGTTAATCGATATTTATTTAGAAATCGTGAGATGCGGTCTGGTGTGATGTAGGTAGTGCACTCTCGACACGACATGCAAGAATGGCACAATTACACAGAAGACAAAACTTTGAGCCCTGAGGATGATCTCAATAAAGATCGAAACGTTGGCACGATAAAGAAAATGTTTCTCTGAAACCTACATCACACCAGACCGCATCTCACGATTTCTAAATATATATCAAAAATCATTTCTTAAGATGTGATCATCTTTGTTTAGCATCTCGTCATGGGGTTTTCTGCTTGATTCTAAATGTTGGATGGATAAATTGGGAGGTTTATTATATTATAGATTGACGATTATGGTGAAACGATAAAATCTGCCAGGAGCGATTTTATTTATTTTTCAATTTTAAAAAAGGAGGTACATTTGTGCCTTATTTTGTTTTTTATCAAAAGCGATGCCTTATTCTCTGTTTCGACACAGCATCCATATGACAATCGTAAGATATGTCTTAATGTTCAAATGCTATTAAACCATGACAAATCCGATTATAAACCCAGCATATTTTTATACTAGTGGTTAAAAAAACCAGCAAAGAAGAACACAAACAATTGTAGTCAAGCTTTCGTATAATTTACTGCCTTCGTAAGAACTACAATCTATAACTTAAATTAAAACAAACAACTCGAGTTGCATCATCTCTGATACGGACGCTAAAAAAAATCTTTTGATGTTATTTGTCCTAATTTATGGTATAGATTGTAGTCCTAATGAAGGCATTAAAATAAGCAGAAAGCTATTTAAAAAAGTTTTGAGCTTTCCTCCCAAAAAAGCTCTAAAGTTTTGAGTTTTCCTTTGCTAGCTACCTACCTCCCCGATAATTGTACAACATACTAAACTATGACAATTTGTATTTTGGATGTTTTTTATGTTCTGACACAAGTTGAGATCTACCCTGTCTTCAAGCAAAGTATGCACGAAAAATTCAAAATTTCTAGGACTTCTAAAACCCAATTAGTATTTGCCTATTTTTTTAATAATAATATAATAAACAACCTGGAAAACCAATAAGAAAAACAATCATTGCAGTTGTTCATATACATTTTTGTGTTATAATTAAAATGAAGACATGCGGGTAAATCCGTCTTTTTTTGTTATGTTTTATGAGAGGTTGTTCTCGTTCCTTCGGCTTTGTCTTTTTTGGTCTGTTATTAAGGGCATATTTTTTCTCATATCTATTTACGACCGTTAATTATTGAAATATATTGTGATTTGAGGCTTAAGTTGCAAGACTTTTGATTTTTTAATTTTCGTTTACGTTACGTACTGTTATTTTGAATCAGCTAGCGTATGTTCAAACATTGACCTTTTTTTCTTCATTTCCATGCTACAAGGGGTTAAGTCAAATCCAAAACTGCTTTATAGTATAATGATATATCAGACCTGATAATGTCCATTTCATTTGGCTTATCAATTTTGTTAAAACGAAACGTATTTAAATGTCTTTCCTATCTGAAGAATAGAGTGCAATTTTATATGTAAATCATTTCCTGTTTTCTTGTCTCTGACTACTGATGTTCTATTATTTTGTCCAGTGCTTTCACTCACAAGTTGCATCCGGGTATTTTAAACCGATTAGCCCTTTTAAAGCAACAAATTAATGATTCTCCACTTCTTTTGACGGACGTCGCCATATCAGCTGATTTCCAAGCGGTTTTATTGATTTCAGAAGTTGGAATGGAAGAGAAGAAAAGCGCAAGCGCCCATCCACTAGACAGAGGCGACTTCGTTTGTCAACAAGACCTTCTGGAAACTGGGCCACAAGCGAGGTAGAAAACAAACCCCAAGCTATTTCACATGAAAAACTTCTGACCGTGGATGTTGATAAACTGTTATAAGTGTTGCAGGTCAGAGGGAGAGCCAGAAGGCTCGAGACCTATGGAATCAGTACAACAGTTGGGCGTTCTGGAGAGAGAAGATATCCGAAATTGAAGAGCACCAACTGCCAAGTAAAAATGAATTTCTAGCTCTTTGATTAATTATAATCAGCTGAGCCACAAAGCTCGGCGCTTTTAGCAAGGCTTTAGATAGCGCGCAAAAGTTCGGAAAGATGGGGAATCTGCAGAGCGGCGACGGGAAGGGTAAGCTGAAGTCGAAGAAAAGCCCTCGGAAGGACGCGAAGGAAGAAGCCAAAAAATGTAAGAAGAGTGGGGACCCGAAGGCCTGTGGGGGAGGGGCCGTCGACCCCGTCCTACCGGCTCCCCGCTACCTGGTCACAGATTCATGGAGGGTCATAGAAAAGATACAGTCTGGAGAAGAGATCAAAACGCCGAGCAAGGAGAGCAGCAGCGGCGACTCGGTTTTCACAGACCCCACCGGACATTGCAACCACGATTCGCCGAGGGACGAAGATGAGCACCGACTGACGATGGACGCCGTCTACCCGGAGGACGCCGGTCTCCCTTCGAACTCGCCCACGGGAGAACAGAGCGAAACTAAGACCATGAAAGAAGTTCAAGGGACAAAATTTACAATAGTGCGACATAGAAAAGTTGACTTAACACCTAGGATAACAGATCAGTCACTTACTGAAATTCTAACAGGTACCATCAATTATTTCACATCCTGCACGAAAAACGTTTAGTTTATTAGACAACAATTTATTTTTTCAAACCATTTTCCGGGTGCATCTTCATCTACTTCAAATTACCTTATTTATAAAAACTATCCCGGTAAATGGAACCGTTTTTATAACTATCTTCAACATCACGCTTACGTCACTATGTTTTGGAAATTAAATTACCATAATGTAGTAATCAGTTGACAAAACAAACAGTAAAGCAGCAAATTTTTGGAGTTAGTTCAAAGAATCAACTATGCCAAAAATCATTTACAACATGTCATCATCATTTGTTGATTTCTTTGTGGAGTTTTTTTGGTTGGTTCTTAATTTAGAATCTTATTTTAAAGTTCATCCTATGTTAGTATGAGACAATGACGTATACCAATTCCATATTCATTTACTTAAAATTTTAAATACGAAGATGCATAGCAATAGCGCTTTTTTGAACAACCCTTTCTTCCGCTGTGTTTCTGCACCAACTCTATCATCAACATCAATTTTAACTAGCATATTTTTATAATTATTTGTTATAAAATCGTTTGTTAAGATGTGATCATATTCATTTATTGACTTCGTCATGGGGTGATTAGTATGTACTTAGGTAGTAATAAAAGCTCAACTATACCAAAAATATTTCCTTAAGATGTCGTTCTCGTTTATTGACATCGTAATATGGTTAATAATAGTTATAAAAACTCAACTATATACAAAATCATTTCTTAAGATGTCATTTTCGTTTATTGACATTTTCGTAGGGTTAATGGTTAGGGATGGTTGGATGGGAGTTGTTATAACACCTCATCCACGTCCAAAATCCTTTCTTAAGATGACATTTTTGTTTTTGACTTCGTCAGGGGGTTATTAATAGTTTAAAAAATCATCCATGTCAAAAATTATTTCTTAAGATAATATTTTCGTTTCTTGATATTGTCTTGGGGTTAGTAAAGTATAGAAACTCAGCTATGTCAAAAATCATTTCTTATGATGTCATTCTCGCTTATTGACATCGTAATAGGTTAATAATAGTTAAATAAACTTATCCCTGTCAAAAATTATTTCTTAAGATGTCATTTTCGTTGTGGGGTTAATAATAGTTAAAAAACCCATCCACATCAAAAATCGTTTCTTAAGATGTCATTTTTGTTTTTGACTTCGTCATGGGTTTATTAATATTTTAAAAACTCATCCATGTAAAAAATTATTTCTTAAGATATCATTTTCGTTTATTGATATCGCCATGGGGTTAATAAAGTTATAAAAACTCTGTTATATCCAAATTGATTATTCAGAAATCGTGAAATGCTGTCTAGTGTGATGTAGGTTTCAGAAAAACATTTTCTTTATCGTGCCAACGTTTCGATTTTTACTGAGATCATCTTCAGGGCCTGGGATTTACAAACATTGTTTAAATTTAACAAATACATGTAGGATGTGGATAAAAGTGAATTTATACAATGCAAAAAAAATTTATTTTTTATATTCAATCAAAGTATTTCTACTCACCTAAAGGTTTGTGGTGAGTAGAAATACTTTGCATCCTACATGTATTTGTATATATTTGTTAAATTTAAACAATGTTTGTAAATCCCAGGCCTGAAGATATCACAATAAAGATCGAACGTTGGCACGATAAAGAAAATGTTTTTCTGAAACCTACGTCACACCAGACGATCTCACAATCTCCCAATAATCATCGACTAACAATCACTAATCACCACATATATCCAAAATCATTTCTTTAGATGTCATTTTCGCTTATTGACATCGTCGTGGGGTTAATAATAGTTATAACAACTCATTGACGTCAAAAATCGTTTCTTAAGATGACTTTTTTTTTACTTCGTCAGGTGGTTTTCTGCTTGGTTCCGAATGTTAGATGGATAAATTGGGAGATTTATTATATTATAGAATGATTATTATGGTGAGACGATAAAATCTGTCAGGTGCAACTTTATCTACTTAAAATTTTAAAAACAGAAGCTGCATTTGCTTCTTGTTTTATTTTTTATCACAAACGAGTTCTTATGCTCTGTTTCCACAACATATGACTAACAATCGTAACTGATGCTTCGTCTTAATGTTAAAATGCTGTTAAGGCCTGACAAACAAAACCCACCATATTTTTATAATTAGTGGTTCTAAAACCTCGCTGTCAAAGATCATTTTCCTTGATTGACTTCGTCATGGGATTTTCTGGTCTTAATGTTCGATAGAAAAATTGAAAAGGTTTATTCTATGGCAGATTCATTATTTTAGTGAGACAATAAATTTAGCCAGATTCAACTTTATTTTCGTCCAATTATATTTTTTTTAATTGAGAGATTATTTCTTTAATGATTAAAGATGATAATGAAAAAATCATGTTCTATTTTCAAAAACGCTTTCTTGCGCTCTGTTTATACACCACTGTCAACAACATACTGAACTGCCGTTTTGTTTTGGAGATAAAATTGCTGTCAATAATTGACAGAACAATTTTAAAGCTATAACATTTTAATTTTATAATTGCAAACATTAACATTTGGAGCCTTTTGGATTTTCTAATCACAATATTACAGATGAATTAGAATAATTATGGAGTGACGAATGCGAAAGAATAATAAAATTAATTTCCTTATCATTCTTATCAATTACAATTAATTAAGGTTTTTAGTTTATAAAAAGTCAATGGCACGAGCGGGATTCGAACCCACGATCTTCTGCTTGATACGCCGCTGCTCTACCACTTGAGCTATCGTGACCTCGATCCACTCGGACACCAATTTCCCATCTCAACCGCACCTTTTGAATTTTCCCTCCTTTTTTGCCATTTTTCAAGAAGATAGATGCCATTTTTGCGGAAGAACCGGAAAAACCCCGTCATTCGGGGTTCGAATCCCGCTCGTGCATTGACTTTTTTATCTCAACTAAAAACCTTAATAAATTGTAATATATTAATTGGTCAAGCGGACCACGAAATTAGTGAATTCTTATCAATTACCATTTTCCTAAAAAATTGATCTATCCTAACGGTTTTCCTGCATTTTATTGATCTGATATAAAAAAGAACATATTAAATGCGATGGAAAAGCTTTAAATTTAGATTAATAGATCAGGACAAGATTTAATTAACCCAAACTAATAAAAAAGTATTATTAATTATCTAGTAAATTTGAAGTTTTTATGTTGAATAGTATTCATATTGAATGATAACTTTATTAATGATTGTTTTATAATGAACAAATATTTGACGTGAATTTTGGATTTTTCATTATTTCAGCTTCTTTGCTACATTTTCAACTTCTCTGGTAAATTCGAACAAGATAAAAATAATTTTAAAAAGTCCAGCTTTCTATTTAGCTAGCTTATCGTTATCAGTACACTATCTCGATATATATTATAATTTTGTATTAACGAAACAGGGATAACGCCAATTTCAAATAGAAGGAAAATATTCAGTTTCTTCGGCAAGCTTTCGAAGATTACATCCGTGTGAATTCCGATTTAGAATGGATGTAGATCTCGTTCGATTATCAACTTAAAAATCCATTATGTTTCAGACCAAAAATTGCAGCACTGTAAGTAGACGTTCATATTTGTTAATCTCGTGAATTATTTATAATAGTTTCAAAGTAGAAGGTATATTTATTGCTCGAAAGCTTCACGACGGAACTGAAGGTATATTTCTTCGCTTTCAAATTGGCCGTATCCTGGATTTGTTTAATAGAACATTATCAGCACATTTAGATTTTTGAAATTTAGATCTTTTGAAAAAAACAGGTTAAAAAATATCGAATTCCCTTGGTTGAAATGGACGTAACGCATTTTTGTCTAAATTAAAATAGTAGGCATGAATAAAATTAAACGTATGATTGGATTAAAAAAATATTTAAAGGATTTTAGAATATTTTTGTTCGATCAGGAACACAAAACCATTTGCAAAAAATCAATGGCTCATATTTATCGATTGGAAAAGGAATTTAGGAAATGTCCCGGTTTGACGTATGAAATTATTCAATGTTGTTAATAATTTTTCAGTTATTCGATCGATTTCGTGTTAAAAGGTACTTTTAATATTTCTTATATTTCTTCTCTTTCAAATTGGCCTTATCCTGGATTTGTTTAATGCAACATTATCAGCACATTAGGGGGAAAAATCATGAAATTAAAATAAATCCAATTATTGCATACAGTAAAAAATGCAGATTGTTTTAACTTTAAATCAACCAATAGCCAATGAAATTTATATCTTTTGAAAAATATGTTAAAAAATATACTGTCGAAATCCCTTGGTTCAAATGGATATAACGCATTTTTGTATAAATTAAAATAGTAGGTATGAATAAAATTAAACGGTCAATTGGATTAAAAAAATATTTAAATGATTTTAGAATATTTTTGTTCGATCAGGAGCACAAAACAATTTGTAAAAAATCAATGGCTTATATTTATCGATTGGAAAAGGAATTTTAGGAAATGTCCCGATTTGACGTATGAAATTATTCAATGTTGTTAATAATTTTTCAGTTAGAACACCTTCTTTCGATCGATTTTGGGTTAACAGGTACTTGTTTTAATATTACAAACGTTCTTATATTTCTTCTCTTTTAAATTGGCCTTATTATGGATTTGTTTAATACAACTTTATCAGAACGTTAGGGGAAAAAAATCATAATTCAATTTTTGGGGTTAGTAAAGAATCAACCATGCCAAAAATAATTTAATCATCATTTGTTGATTCCTTTGTGCAGTTTTTTGGTTGGTTCTAAATGTAGAATCTAATTTGAAAATTCCTTGTATGATAGTTTAATGATTTATGATACAATAACATTTACCAATTTCAAATTCATTTACTTAAAATTTTAAACATGAAGATACATAGAATCCTTTCTTCCGCTATGTTTCTGCACCAACTCTATCATCTACATCAATTTTAACTGGCTTTGGAGATTTAACACTATTAATTTTTGTACAAACAAATTATAAACTAACATATTTTTA